GGTCTGCCTACCCTTGCATGTCCATGCTTTGGTGTCCATAGAAGTACATCACTGATGATTTCCCCTTTACTTCGCCATGCATGTCCAGCAAACCTGAGTCTCCTTTCTCTGATGACCTGAGATAGAGGTCGTAGGTCCCCGTATAACTGCTCCTTTGTGGGGTGTTCCTTCCATGAAGTGTTAAGAACTACCCTTAGCATCTTTGTATATGTTCCGTCTAACTTTTTCTCCAGACGTCTTGTGAGCGTCCATGTGTTGCTCCCATACAGCAATACTGAAACTACAGTCGCTTGGAAGAATTCACGTTTCAGCTTATTTGGCAGGGGGGATTTCCAGATCACTGATAGCTTGTCAGTTGCCGCCCAGGCTTTTCTAATACGAGCACTCACATCATTTTCAGTTGATGAAATGTCACTACCTAAGTACGTGAATTTCTCAACCTGTTTAATGCTATTTCCATCGAGAGAAGCGATGTTTCCGTGTTGGTTGAATGTCACAAACTCTGTTTTGCCAGCATTGACATATAGACCAATACCCCTTGCTGCTTTTTCTAGGCAGTGTAAAAGAATTTCAGCTTGCTGGATTGTGTTACTGAAAAGTGCAAGGTCATCAGCAAAATCTGCATCGGTGAGATGCCTTGCAGGGTATCGCCGAGATCTTGCGTGCTCTAGGATGAAACCATTTTCTTGTATTTGGTCGACAGATGTCCGTAGTACGTAGTACCCCTATTACAGTTCCCATTATGATGATTACCACATGTGGGAATCTCTCTTTCACAGTTTCATTTGGACAGGGACTACGTGTACTTGTACTATGATTTAGGGTTAACCTTGTTGTCTCGATCTTAGGCTGTCTAGTGGTCAGTGCCATCTTCTCTCTCGTAAACAATGTACTATTAGGAGTCCTTGTGGCTTGGGCGTTTTCTGCACACACGGCGCCACCAAGAGTGCTGGACAAAGGCACTGTGAAGACACGTTTGTAGGTCTCCTCTCAAAACAAACATGTGAGATTGAAACATTTGAGGCAACGCTCTAAATTTAACCCATTCATATTCAGCTATTTTTGTCAGCTCCCAGTAACATGAAATACCCAAAGCAAGAATCCAAATCAAGACTCCAAACCCCTTAGCCTACCCCCCCCCCCGTGCAAAGACTCCTTAACAACAGTTTGACTAAAGTTCTGCTTTAATCTTACAATTAGTATTTTGCAAAGCATGTATTTACTAATTTTTTCTTTAAACATTATTTATGCTTAAAGCATGCAGAGACATTCTTACATTTCAAAATTAAAGACAAGTTATATGCATAAATGCCTGTTGGTACAAAACAACATATAGCTCATCACTAACAGGTTACAATATTAATATGCATATAGTGCTAAAGTTACAAAGTTGCTTACACGAAAACCATTCAAACAAAAAAAGTATCCACAACTCAGAGTACGAGATACTCAAATTGATATTAAATTGAGCTTCACGCCACTCAAAAATGCAAACGTACTATTCAAAGTTTGCTAATTAGCGGTTCACCCAATGATAGCACGGCAATTAGTGGTTCAACCAATGGAAGAGATGCTGCATTTGTGTCTGTTTATTTCGGATTTCTATCTTTCAGTAGAGGTGGGTGGGGCTAAGGGATGTTTTGAATAGAACTGACGATGCTATCTGCCGAACCGACAATTGCTATCATTGGCTGAACCGCCAATCGCCATGCTATAATCATTGGTTGACATGCGCATATGGAATGGTTAAACACGCTGTATGTTAGTTGAATACATTTTACATTATATATAGCTTTGGGGAACATAAAAGCCAACGTCACTTAAAATACGAGTAAGGTAAGATTAAACACGTCGTGTGTTTGTTGATACAGCCTTTGGGATTAAATAACCCAGCGTCAATTAAAGTACTAATAACGTAAGATTTAACACGTGTAGCTTTCATATAGCTTTCGGGAACATATAAGCTAACGTCACTTTAAAAAACACGTAAGATTTAACCCTATCTAGGCCGGGCTTTTTTGAGCAAGATTTGACGGGGGGGGGGGGGGCTCTTTTAAACCCCCTCTCAGAACTCGCTAACGGTATGTCGTATGACTACCAAATTTTCAGAGGATGGTGTACAAGTAAAACTTTATCATATCTACAATTTTTTGTCATTATAACGTAATATGACGTCATTATGACGTCATTAATGTGATTTTATTGGCCAAAACCGTCTAGATAGGCTATTCCCTGAAAACTAAATGGTATACAACATAACTTTACCAAAAGTGTTTATGACAGAATATTAGGGTGTACTAAGTCTTATGTTGCCCATAGCAACACTCATACATATTTAAGATATCCGCCATCTTGGATCATCAATGTTGAATTTTCAAAAATAGTTCTTTTCGTGATAAAGCCTAAAATACATTGTAAACATACTAAAAACCTTCATTTAAACCTTTTTTGGAAAAAGAAATGGAAGTATTGATGAAATTTTAAGGAAAATAACCTGTATATACCTGTTCTAATGATATGGTCCGCCATCTTGGATTTTGGCCAATGACGTCATCAAATTAGCATAAATTATGCATATTTAATGATAAAATTTACATAAAATTACATGGGATGTTATTAATATTAGAAACCATGAGTAACTTGACATAAAACCCATAAAATTCTATTGTTGAAACAAAAATTACTAAATTTAGCAAAAAATGCCTGTCAGAAACCCGTTGCCATGGCAACACAAAAAATTATTATCTTATTCCAATGATAGTAAATTGTTGGCAACAATATTTTAGGAAAAGTCACCAAGTTTGGTCGTTCTAGCCCTAGCCGTTCAGATGCTAGGTGACATCAAAGTTGGCGCGGGCACTTTTAGCCCCCCCCCCCCCCGGTCTAGATAGGGTTAAAGTACGAATAAGGTAAGATTAAACACATCGTATATTTGTTGAAGAAACGCTACGTTTCGTACAGCTTTTGGGATTATATAACCCAGTGATGATTACAATGCTAATAAGGTAAGATTACACACGTCGTTTTTTTTGTTTTGTTTCTTGAATAAACGCTACGTTTCATACAGCTTTTGGGATTATATAACCCAGCGTCGATTACAATACTAATAAGGTAAGATTACACACGTCGTTTTTTTTTGTTTCTTGAATAAACGCTGCGTTTCATACAGCTTTTGGGATTATACAACCCAGCGTCGATTACAATACTAATTACACACGTCGTTTTTTTTTTTTTGTTTCTTGAATAAATGCTACGTTTCATCACGGCGGTCTGTCACTACGGTATTCTTTCCCATTGCTAGGCGCGTTCTAAAAGGTATCGGGTTACAAGACGCTATTTTGGCCGATTTTGGCCTACCAGTAAAACACTTGAAAATAAACAAAAAGGATTTAATGGCAAATTTCGTCAAATTAAAATGAAATTATTGCCTTAACATCCATTCAATATTAGCTGTTTATGTTAAATCATTGATTTTTCAAAATTTCGCTCCGAAAGACGATTATTTTCGGGTTTCCGACCACAAGTCATGTCATGTTTTTAGGCAAACATCGTTTTAACCTGGCTACGTATATTACCCCAGATTCCCGATTTTTATATTTTTCGACGACTAGGAATAAGATCAAAAATCGTGTTTTAGGGATTTTTTAATTTCTGATTTTAAGTCGAGTTTTTGTCGACATATTGGTGAAAAAATGATTTGTTTTTACATTTTTCGCACTAAATTACCCATAATTCAAAATTGAGGCCATTTTTCAAAAATCCCTAAAACACGATTTTTGGGACAACCGTAACGGTCATTTTGAGCCGTGAATGGGGTATGCTTGACTTTCCATGCTTGCAGGTTAAAACGAGTTTTGCAGACATGTCATGTCGACCAAAAGTCTGCATTGTGTTATTCATACTGGCGTAAAGAATCATTACAGTATTCAAGGTCACCCAAGGATACGACAGTAGCTTCGCTACATGTTACATGTCCACAAAACAATGATAGCGGACATGTACTGTCCACGAAACTGTTTGTATCTATAGAAAAGTGTTGTTTTTTATCTGTTGCACGACACGGAGGCAGAAAGGCTTGTTTTGCCGTTTTATTGTAAATGACCGCAGGTGACCCCGAAATAGAACGCGGGTTCGATTCGAATTGCCCAGATCGAACACGATCGAACACAGTTCGGGTTCTATGGCATGTGGGAACTTTGCAACCCAGATTTTATCACCGTGCATACAGCTTTTGGGATTATATAAACCAGCGTTAACTAAAGTACGAATAAGGCAAGATTTAACATGTCGTATGTTTGTTGAATAAACGCTACGATTAGAAGGGCTTTTGGGAATATATAAGCAAGCGCCACTTAAAATGCACGTATGGAATAATTAAACACGTCATATGTTTGTTGAATAAACGCTACGTTTCATACAGTCAATTATATAGCTTTTGGTAACACATAAGCTACAAAAATACTACAATTATGTTAGGCGTTGAAAGGAAACAGAGTTCTAGGCACAGGCTCTCGATGATTTGATGTACCTTTAGGCGGTATCTTTTCGGTCTTGTTTTAAAGTGTGCGTAGAGAAAGATTAAACATAGCTGATTAATTTAGTCATGTTTCAAATTTGACTTAAGTTTTAAAACAGAAATACGAAACATTTCCCGTAGCTTTCTGAGACATATAAGTTCAATATGCCGTAATACAATACATTTATAACTGCGAAAATCCTTCATAAAGATTAGGTTTCATTTTCAGTAGACTTTAATCGACCTTAAAGTTTGCTGAAATATTTCCCTGTCTTTAAAGTCTCAATACGGATTTCGTAAATTTTGCTTAAATATCTGTTTACGTGCTGTGTTGGAGCAAAGATATTGTCTTCAATATGAAAAATGGTAAGCTTTCGTCTCTATTGAAAAAAAAAGTCTGTAAGAAAGTAACTTCTGCACCCTGAAAAAAAACGAAGATGGTTAGAGGAATAGGGGTAGGTTGTGGGTGAACGGCGGTGGTTTCCTATGGTGTGTTACACGTCTCCGTCCCTGGGATGTTAGGTAGTGTGACGGCGGGGAGGGACGCACACCGTGGTGTGTTACGTGTTCCCTCCCCTGGGATCTCCCACGGCCAGTAGGTGTTAGGTAGTGTGACGGTGGGGAGGGACGCACGCCTTCGCGTGTTACGTGTTCCCTCACCTGGGATCTCCCACGGCCAGTAGGTGTTAGGTAGTGTGACGGTGGGGAGGGACGCACGCCTTCGTGTGTTACGGGTTCCCTCACCTGGGATCTCCCACGGCCAGTAGGTGTTAGGTAGTGTGATTCGGGGAACGTCCCCTGAGAACTTCCATGACCCAGAGACACCAGGGGATGTGAGGAAGGCGATGTGAGCCTCCGTGACCTCCTGACCTCTTGATAGAATCCCATCTGTGACGTTGGCGTACGTCCTCACACTTTGGTCTGTATCCTGGGATACTGAACCCGTCCTCAGATTTCTGCGGGCTCTTATACCCTGGAACTCGAGGAGGGCCTTTCTATAAATGTTATCACACTGGGCTTTGTTCTGTTCAGCTGACCCATATGTGACCATAGATCTTCTAGACCCATGTCTGTTGGAATTCGTTGTGACATCCAGGGAGGCCCATCGAGTTTGCCCACTATCTGTGACAACATGAAGGGAAATACCCGCAGGATTAGCAGAGAAAGGCATGAGATCGCTCTTCTCATCATCTAAGATCACGCTGTAGGTATGTGCTGGGGCAAACAGGGGGCACTGTGCAGCAGCTTCTTGTTCTGACATCTCCCAAGATGTGCGCGGGAGAGGCGGCAGGGGGCGCTGCGCAGTGGCCATGTGATCGGGGATCTCACTATAGATGGGTTCAATAGACTGTAGAACAGCCGGCAATGACCTACAGGATGCCGCATCGTCTGAGGCGTCCCCTGGCCCGCGAGTGCGTGAAGGGAGGGAGGCTGACCGGACCACACCGGAGATTACGTCGTTGTGCGGGAGACTCGGCAGGGGCCTCTGAGCACAAGCTAAGCCATCAGGGATTTGGCTGTAAGTAGGCTGGACGGAATGCAGGGCAGCGGGCATTAACCTACAGGAAACTACGTCATCTGACGCCATCCTGCCTGAACATGCAGGGAGGGAAGCTGACCTAAGCAAGTCGGGGAAGGCAGCCCCAGGCGGGACGGTCCAAACATGTGCACCGTCACTGTCCCTCTCATCCTCGCACGTCCCTGTGGAGCACAACTTCTTTACCAACACCACAAGGGGCGACAAGACCAGACCGGCCACTGCCGAAACAGCAACAAAAACAGTTATAAGAACATGATCTGTTGCCGGAGGCTCCTCTGGTCCAGATGTGGAAGTAGAACTCACTTGCAGTGTAGAGTTGTCTACCATTTCTGAAGATGTGAAGTCTCTCTCTGTATGTTCAGTGTAGTGTGTAAGGGTGGTAGAGTGGTCAGTGTCTGTTCTGTAGGTTGTTGTGTGTGTCTGGTGTTGGTCCTGAGGAGTGGTGACGAACAACGTTTTGTGTTTATCTTTGGTAAGAAGAATGCAGGTGATGTTCCTTGCATTGTCCAGGTTGGTGTTTGTTATGGTTGTGTGGGTTTGACTGTACCCAGACTCTGTGGTGGTGACTGTGTTCGTGCCTTGTGTCTGGACAAACGACATGCCAACACCTTCAAAGGTTGCGTTCGCTTTAGACAAGGAAACCAGTCGGAAGGTTGACCTTCTCACTAGCCCCATTGCGATGCCTCCATCGTATTCCCACACCTGCCTGCACTGTTCAAGTGTGTTAGTCTCCAGTTTGTCTGTCAGAGAGTCGTCAGTGGCCAGGACAACTACAGGGGTCTGGATGGAGATCGTGCTCAGAGAACGATGCAAAATGTCGCATGCGAATGATTTGGGCACTATGTCATAAAGCATATTGTTGGATGGGTCAAACACCCACCAGAACGAGAGTTCAGTGGGTACCCCATGCTGGCTGACACAGAAGAGGAACCTGGGCACCGCCACAACCAATGTTGCTGACCATGTCATGGCATTGGCTAACCGATATAGACTCCACATCATGTCATCTGGCCTAGCATCATGGGCAGATGGCAGCATACCACTGCTGATATGGAGACTTCTCAGCCGAGACTGTCCTCTGAACACATCTTCATCCAAACTCCACAGATCATTACCACTCAGATCTATCCAGGTCGGCTGTATGTGTTGGAATGACGTCGGGGAAATGCTTTTGATTTTATTCAATCCCAGGTTAATGACCATGATACTTTTCATCCCAAAGAGCCATCCAGGGTCTACAATCTGCAACAAATTGTTCTCTAGATCCAAGATAAATAGACGGGTTAGTTTGGCGAAACTCCCTGGCTCTATCTGCTTGATGCGGTTGTTTGACAAAGTTAGCGACATGAGATTCTTCAAGCCAGTGAACCATGTCGGTCTGACATTTGTCAACTTGTTAGAAGTTAGGGACAGTGTTTGGAGACTGGAGAACCCAGCGAAGGTGTTGTTCTTCACATCAGTGATCTTCGCATCCACCAAGGTCAACATAAGGACCACAGAATTCTCAAACGGGGCCAGGCTGTTTGCAGACAGGACGTGGAATGGGTGTCCTCTTATTGCAACATGTCGGGCCCCGGCAAGGAAAGGGAACGGGCTGACAGGAGCAACACCCTGTTTCAGGACCTCACACACGACACATGTGCCCGACACTTCCATCTGTCCCAACTTGCCATTGAGAGGCACACACACTCGCCATCCAGCTACCTTATTACACAGACGAGAAGGAGGGGCATCTGATGCTGCACATGTAGCGATGACAAGAAGCAAGAACAACATGGCTGCGTTCTCCCTAGTACCGCTGATTGCATGCATCTTGTCCATTTGTATCTTAATCTTTCATGCGAGAAGCTACGTGTCACTCACCTGAAGTATGTTTACTTGGTCCACAGATCTGGACGTGCAGTCAGTGATCACCTTTCAGTCTGTTAAGCACCTCTTCTTTTCCCGTTTGAACAATATTTGGTACATACGTGATAAGCTTTGCGCCGCTTGCTGGGGTGGCGTCTGAACGATAGCTTCTTGGTGTTATGTTTATGAATTTTGCAATTGCCGTATTAGGGTTCTTGTTCTACAAGAGCTGCGCAGAACCATGCTTCTAGATATACAGACTAATTTTATGAAGTAGCTTATGAATAGTAAGTAATACTCTTTGAACTGTATATTTTGCTGAAACAAGCCAATCGGCACTGGGCTAAAAGCCAGATTTCCGTTTTGGATATCTGTGTACGCGAGCCAGGAAATCCCAAGTTTCCGCGGGTTTGCACCGATTTCCAATTTGCAGACGCGGCGTGTCCGCTGTGGGAAACTTGTGGAAATCGTCAAAAACTGTTATGTCCCAAACTGTGCCCGTCCCATTCCGTGCCTGAGCGGGCACTGAACGGGACACAGCCTGACTGTCCCAAACCGTGCCCGGAAGCGCTGTCAATCATAGTGATTGGCGGGAACCTAAGCATAATTATTCACGCCCACGATTTCTTATATGGTTAGATTACGTGAGATTTTGCGAGTCTGTGTACAGCATGTGCTTTCAAAACGCAGTTTTCTCAGTCTTATGTTTGGTCGACATGAACTTAGATATTAATATACAGAGACTAGTTAATACAAGAAAGAAACTCGCTTGGGACACATGTTATGAGAACTGTGTTTAGTCCCCTAGCTTAAATAATACGTGTCCAGAACTGTCAGGCACGGTTCTGGATAGTCCACCGCGTGTCCCAGAATGTAGATTTTCCCCAGGCACGGTTTGGGACACGCGCCGAGTGTCTCAAACCGTGCCATACTTTGGTTTCAGGTCGTAAGAACCCTAGAATTCGGCTTGTTTCAAATTTGAATAATCCTCCTGTCAATACCAGAATACTTTACACTATTGACATGATTTTCCTGTCAATAATGCAGAATTGTGCTCTATTGACAGAACCATCCTGTCAATAACAGAAATAAATGCACCATTGATAGGATGTTCTGTCAACAGTATATCTTTTTTTCTGTTATTGACAGGACCATCTTGTCAATAGTAAATTTTTTTCTGTTATTGACAGGAAAAACCCTGTTAATAGTGGACAAACTTGCGTTATTGGCAGGACCATTCTGTCAATAGCAGAAAATGTTCCACTATTGACAGGATGATCCTGTCAACAGTGCATTTTTCTGCTATTGACAGGATGGTCCTGTCAATACTGCAGGGTTTTCCACTATTGACAGGATGGTCCTGTCAATACTGCAGGGTTTTCCACTATTGGCAGGATGGTCCTGTCGATACTGTAAATTTCTTTTACGATTGTGGTGCTGTAAATAGACTTAAGCGTTTCATCAACGTGTCCTAGCTCGGAAATTTGTGTAAATCTGGCTTTTCGTCCAGTGTTACATCCGCACCCATTTATTGGTTGTCATTTCAGTAAGACGTTTCCAAAAGGATATTCCTAAATGCACTGGCAAGATGTATATTCATTTTCCTCTGCATCACTTGTATAAATTGTCTCTTACGTACGCTCTCATTCGCAGCAAACCAATTCGTCTTGGGATTAGAAAAAACACTGTACTGTAGATTGGTTTTCTGACTACATAAACTGAGCCTACGACATGACGTCACCTGAAATCCTGTTGTTATGAATGCGGAAATTGAACAAAAAAAGAATCCTGTCTCTGGAAACACAAATGGACCCCTTAAAACATGCTTCTCTCACATAATGCATTATGAATATAGGAAAAAAAGACAAGCCAGCATTATGGCTATTTCAACAGTGCAAAATGTATTATTTTGAATGCTGAGATGTACATTTCACTAAGAATAAACAGAAGGCCAGTTCAGTTCATCCTTATGGCGACGCCAGAAGATCCAAACAGTGCAATCTTACAGACAAGAATCATATCAAATATTTAAAATATATAAACATTTTTTTCCAAATATCATCAAATGTAATAGTATTCTTTGTAAACCATTAGCAACCTATTTGTACAATTCTGCATTATAAAATGTGAGGAATTAGAGAGAGCAACCTAGTATACTAGTATCAAGTAAGCAATAAAAAACACATACAATAGCCATTGTGTTAAGAGAGCTCAATCTGGCATAGTGGTTCCCTGTCAAAAAATTAAAAGACACTGTAAATCAAAAGATATTAGGTACAAAATATGACATGAGCACAAAACAGATTTAAAAGTGTTGCTGTCAGATTTTATATAAAACGCCATGCCGTCTTGCTTAACACCTTTTATAGTGCAATGGCAATAAATACGTATTTAGGTCATTTTAACACAATGTATTATACTCTTCTTAGCACTGCCTCTCACATCAAGGCTGTAAGGATTAAGCTCAGTGCTGGAAGCAGAGCTTTACATATAGTCACCTACGAAGATGTATACAAAATGCTAATACATAATAAGATTGTACTTTTTATTACACAAGATAAAAAAAACATTAAAGAAAACAAGAGCCGTAGTACATTGTAAAGGGCCTCCTTGGCATAAGTCATTACGTCCACTCAACATCATTACATCTACTCTTATCATATTCGAGACATAAAAAATCGTTTCAGTTATAACAATAGAATGTTGATAGAAATTGCATTATGGTAAACAAGTCATAAAAAATGATAATTCCTAAGATGTTGGCAGCTGACGAATAAACTACACGCCTACATTGGCAATTAGAAATCTTGCGAAAAACAAGTAAATCACTTTGGATGTGGGAATTGTAGTGTGAATTAAACAGTGTTTACTTAGTAGTGTATCAATAGTTCAATGCTGTATAAAAAATGCGCATCCTGTTAAACGACATTTTACGTTATCCCACGACATTATTCGGTGTGAACAACAAACGCTGGTAAACCAACATACAAAACCAAATAAAAAGCATAAGAATTGTGTAAGATATCATGCATCGTATAATGAATTGTTACCATAATGTATGTGCCAAAAGGGCAAGAAATAGTTTAGAGATATAAGGCCACACCAAGTAAATTTTATGGATGACGTCCTTTAGAGACCCTAAATCTAATGCGAGAGGGCGAAAAAAAACAAACAAGAAGGGCCCTAAAAAACAAGATGCATAGATTAGAAATATACTAAGAGACAACAAATGTTCGGACACAAATTGAAAGAGGTGACACAGTGTAACAAGCAAGAAGTCTTTTATTCATCATCAAAACAGCAATAAATCAGGTGGAACAGCAGTTGTCGTCCTATGCTTTGGGGAGATAGATGGAGCGGTTAGCAAGTTTCTTCAAATGTGGCAGCATGACCAAACTGAATTCCTGAAGGAATTCATGATTTCCTTGCTTGATGCTTCATAAGCTTTGGTCCGTACAAACCTATTTGCGGCACTGTCGTGACTCTTTGGTCATAGTTACAGGAAGCGGAATTTCTTGTTTTTTTTTTCTAGGAACAGGCCAAAATCAATGCGCGCGTGGACGTCATCCATAAAATTTACTTGGTGTGGCCTAAAGAATGACGGGTTTTCAGCGACGACAACCTGAGCGCAATGAATGATGGGATAGCATCAGCCGTACTGTGACGCCATGTTTGTTTATTGTTTTTAGTCGATGTCTTTGGAAAAAAGAAGGTAAAAGAAGTTACGAACCATCAAGTCGTGTTTGATTTGTCTATTCATCGTTTCGACACTGACCCATTACATCCAAAGGCCTTTTAAATTTTTTATTCAATGGATAGGGACATGACGTACAACTCACCCCTTGCGCAACGAGCGATGCACGCAACCGCTCACGGCCAGTCGTGGCGTGCAGACCACATACACTGTGCGTAACCGTGAGAGTGAGTCTGACATGTGGATGTCTTAACTACTAAGTACCTAATACCAGCCCAGAAGAGAACAAGAAATAGCCATGCATTCAAGTACCAGAGTTATCAACCAAGGATTGAGGTGTTCAAGAATTAATTCTTTCCTAGAACTATCGCAGAGTGGAACTCACTGTCACCAAGTACAGTAGGGGCATTGTCAATAGATAGCTTTAAACAATGTCTAGAGCTAGAAGTTCAAGGGTTAGGTGTGACAAGTCGATCGGTGTAATATAGCCAGCTGCCGCCGCGCCGCGTGCCTGCGAAGCTGGTGTGTTACGCCGAAAGGCGGTTATACCGGCTATACAGATACAGATACAGACATGCGTTGATGTACTGCCCATACAAGTCGTTTCCCAGTGAGCACGTTCTCAGAAAAATGTAGTGATTCTCAAAATCACTTCGTGGCGAAATGCCAAGGACAAGGCAAAGCTGACGGGGTCGCACAGCTGGTTAGCCGTGAACTTCTGTGTGTGTTCTGAGTTTCCAATGACTTTTCCGGAAGACTGACTCATGACAAATTCCAGACTCCATACGTTTTGTTTTACCAAAGTCTACTTCCTGTTCGCGTCAGGCACTGGTTAGGCCATGTTGATTCCATTTTATGGATAACATCCACACGCGCATTTATTTTTTCTGTTTAGGGGCACCAAAATTGGACAAAAAATGAATCAATTTGCATTAAAACCTTTTTTGGATGGATATGACAAATAAAATACACAACACGCCGTGTTCCGCATCACACTCTGTTACAGCCATCCCGTGGATTGGATTACCCTTCGGCCGTCGATCTGACCCACGGTAGGGCCGGTACCTCGGGTAATACGGAATACACTTAGTTGTTTACTGTATCGGTATAGCCTGTATAACTGTCTTTTGGTGTAACACACCAGCTTCACAGGCACGCGGTGCTGCCACAACTAGCTATATCACACCGAACGGCTTGTTACACTCAACTGTATCTGTATCAAAAGCCAACGAAGCATTACGTAACCATTAGAACATTCAAGAACAGTTCAACTTTTCACCCCCTAGAACATACCATTTACATCCGTCCAAGAAGAAGAAAACATACGGCGCGCACACGGAAACACTCAGTTGTTGAGAAAAACATAGAATTGTAGAATAAGACTTAAAGAAAGGTTGCCTATGGTACAACGGTATGGTATGGTAGAATTTAATTTGCCCTACAAATTCTTTTAACCAGATGAAAGTTTCGCCTGTGTCATTTTCTTGGAATTCCGCCTGATACGAGTAAGCACCAGGAACAAGGAAGTTCCTTTTGCTGAGCAATAATTTCACATCTATATATAGCGTGCCAGTGCACGGTACGGCATCACACAGAGACAAACCAGCATGGCGTTAACTGTGTTTAACCTACTCCTGACATTACATCTCATGTCCCAGACGTCTGCTACTACAGCCCCACCTGTTACCACATCGGAGCCAGGGAACGGTGAGAGTTTTTTCCTATTACCTTCGCTTAGTTTATGTTTTGGGTAGTGTTTTTGTACGTACTTATGTTTGGTTTAAAATAAGCTTTGGATACATGTTCGTGAAATTCGGTGACGTCACATCGGTAAGTCTTGTTAATAATAGGGTTTTCAGGGCCACCACTAATGGCCTGTTACACTCTTAATGCCCACAAAATTTAAGCTAACTATTCTGGTGCTTCAAAGGCATAACGTTATCCTTATTATTCCGCATTTCCCGTCCCTACATGTAGGAGCACTATTAGCCTCACTATTACATAAATTTGACAGAGAAAAACCCTAAAGACAGCCTGCCCTAACTACGATAGACAGGATACCAGGCAAGTCAGACCAAGAAATGAATGTTGGATTCTGGTTAGGGACAAGGTTTTTAGACGGTCGTTACGTGCATTTTGCCTGTCTAAAGAAAACTTAGAATACCCCTTTCCGAGACTAGGTAGAAATCATCAGTAGAATGAAGGAATTGATAACGAGAAGGATTTAAACTGATACGACTTGCAGTTGTAAAGCCTCGATTCTAAACCTTTCTCATTCACGTGACTCAGAGATTCAGAGGTCCCGTGACTGGACAGGTAGTCAGGAAAAGCACGTCGGCAGAACGTACTACACCTGCGCGAAACCCGTAATGTATTGTACATAGCACTTCGGCAGAATGTCTCATATAAGGTTGTATTCGCTCATATAAGGTTAGCATTTCAACAGTAGTTTCCAAATGGTGTGTCGGAAAAGATATCTTCTGCAACAGTCAAAATTCTAATGCAACGTTGACCAAAAACCCAACGAAAAACACGAAAATCCAGGGTTCTGCGCAGGCGCTCTACCGACGTGCTGTCAGGAAATTCAATGGAATTGGTGTTGATTCCCTTTATATCTCTCTGACACAGTACGTAAGAACGTAGTGGTAGAACCTTTAGATTCTCAGTCCACAATCCTTACAGCATGGCGAGACGCCAGCGCAGAGGTTACAGGGTCGATCAGCACACTACCCTGGGTGCCAGCCAAGTTTACGGGCCGCTATGCGCTAGCCGTTTCCTTTGGAAGCCAGAAGCCCGTCTCCCGCAGACCTAAATTACCGCTGCGGTGGAGTTGAGCCCGTGGGGAGTTGTAGGGCCAGCCAAACTCCCCCCGGGCTAGAGTCCCCCATAGTAGTATAAACATAGACGAGTTTGTGTGTGTATCTGTGTGTCTGTCTGTGTCTTGTAAACAGCATGACATAAATATTGAATGCAATTTCAAGTAGGGAAAACACTATATTCTTGATGAGAAAATATCTCTGAAATTCACAATAACTACCATTCACCAGCGGGCGAAGGGATCTTGCGGCCCGGAAAACGAGTTTGGCTTCCAGGGTATCAGCACACTGACCGTGAACTTTTGTCCTTCCGGAGTTTCAAATGTCTTTTCCGATAAACTGCCTGCCTCGTGACATATTCCATACTCCATTTGTTTTTCACCGAAGCCAACTCTCTGTGATAACTGACGGTGCACCATTACCTTTGCTATAGGAATGTTACGATTTCGGAAGAGTATGTGCGTGTATCTGTCTGTGTGTTTGTCTGTCTGTCTGTCTGCGCCTTGTAAACAGCTTGACATGAGAAGACTTAGACGGAACGCCTTGACATTATTAAGAGTATTGAATGCAATTTCAGGTAGAGAAAACACAATTTCTTAACAGAGTTTTGGCATTATTTAATCATTGAGGCGTATAAAATAGCATATCCCAAAACAAGCTACACGAGGCGCCTGTTTATGATTTGGGTACCGCACATAAATACTGTAGTAGCTAGATCAAGTCTACGATACAAAACAAGCAAGTTTTGATATGATCTTGACATGATTTGATAACTCCTTTTGGATGGTAGATAAGTTTTGTGACTGACAAAATGGGTTTTGGCCGCATATAGAACCTGGAGAGCCGTTTATTATTACTTTAGGTAAAAGCTTTTCATGGTAGCGTTTGTTTGTGTTCATGCAATACTAGCCCTTGTCCTGCTGACATTCCTGGCACAATATTTTTCAATAATTTCTTGTCTTAATTAGATCATAGACCCCCAATTTTTTTTTTGTCCTGCAGTGGCATAGTTACTTCCGCATTCGTTGCGTTTCGCTGCGGTGTGATGCGTTGCACGAGAAATACCCCCAAATCGTACCTATACAGGGTGCTATATAGATGGTAGTGTATGTGCAGAACGACAAATGTTGCGATCATTAATTAGGACGAGGGCTAGTACTGTGTATGGCTAACGCTGCAGTATCAATGTAGTACGGACAAAATTTGTGAAACTTGTCTAGAAAGTCGTATGTGAGAGGCAGCCAGCTGGCAACTGTGATATGTGGTATAGAAATATATCAGGTTTATATGGCTGTATGATTTGGGTTAGGAAGCTGTTTTTTCAGTTTGTGTATAAATGCGCAGCATTCTGTAACTTCCAATGAGAGCATACTACAGTTTAGTTGACCTCCACAGAGCGCCAATTAAAAAATAGCCCGTTTTTATTTATTTCTTGCCCTAATCATACCCTAAACTCAAATATATCTGCTTTTCGTTCTTCTCTAGTGCGCCCTACTATTATTTAAACCGCACAGTGAGTCACATTAACCCTACCTAGACCGGGCTTTTTTTGACATGGGGGGACCGGGGGGGGGGCTTCTTTTGACCCCCCCCTAAGAACTCGGGAACGGTATGTCGTATGACCACCAAATTTTCAGAGAATGGTGTACTAGTGAAAATTTATCATATCTACAATTTTTATGTCGTTATGACGTATTATGACGTCATTATGACGTCATTAATGTGATTTTATTGGCCAAAACCGTCTAAATAGGTTTTTCCCTGAAAACTAAATGGTATTCAACATAACTGTACCAAAAGTGTTTATGACAGAATATTATGGTGTACTAAGTCTTATGTTGCCCATAGCAACACCGGTGACGTCATAAAATGACGTCATGCATATTTAAGATATCCGCCATCTTGGATCATCAATCTTGAATTTTCAAAAATACTTTTTTTTCATGATAAAGCCTAAAAAACATTGTAAACATACTAAAGACCTTCATTTAAACATTTTTTGGAAAAAGAAATGGAAGTATTGATGAAATTTTAATGAAAATAACCTGTATATACCTGTTCTAATGATATGGTCCGCCATCTTGGATTTTGGCCAATGACGTCATCAAATTAGCATAAATTATGCATATTTAATGATAAAATTTACATAAAATTATATGGGATGTTATTAATATTAGAAACCATGAGTAACTTGACATAAAACCCATAAAATTCTATTGTTGAAACAAAAAGTACTAAATTTAGCAAAAAATGCCTGTCAGAAACCCGTTGCCATGGCAACACAAAAAATTATTATCTTATTCCAATGATAGAGAATTGTTGCCAACAATATTTTAGGAAAAGTCACCAAGTTTGGTCGTTCTACGGCTAGCCGTTAAGACGCTAGGTGACATCAAAGTTGCCGCGGGCACTTTTAGCCCCCCCCCCCGGTCTAGGTAGGGTTAAGGCTATCAATAGAAATCCCCTCAGGCTAAAACAAGTCAAGTAAAACTAGAGTTCCACCACCTCATACCTTCGCCAAATAATGTTAACCTTCATGCTTTAATTTATAGATTAATCCCCCTGATTGTGCAAATAGGATCCTATATTGCATCAATTATATCTGTTGATCATATTCTACACCATAAGACAGTCTTATCTTATCAAAGAATGCCATTACATCATTTCCTTATAAATTATTCAAATGCGGTCCTTATTTGAATAAGTTATGTTTAATTATGTTCACCTTCACATAACTTTCAAATATTCCAAGTATGAAATTCCAGGCAGTTACCACTATGTAATTATAACATTTTGTTCATTATTTATGCAAATTAAGTCCTCATTTGCATAATCGATATCTGCCCCTCTTTCTGCCGTTATTAATCACATATATCACAAGCTTGAATAGTCATATCATGGAATGCAGCTGATTTATAGAATTTCCTCATTAATAATGCAAATTACATTAAGATTTGCATAATTGTAATATTATTATGTCAAGCATCACTTCAGCTACCTACATGCCAAAAATCACGACGATCCATCAATCGGTTCTTTAGTTATCCGCCTTTTAACATTTTCAACTAACGCCCCTGCAGTTCCAGAGCAAGAAGCTAGGGGGCTCAAACTCATGTCACTTAATTTCCAGTACAAGAGCTATCTACCATCTAAATTTAATGACCCTAGCATGTCCAGATCACGAGATCACGAGTCAAAACCGGAAGTTCAGCTGCAATACCATAACAAGCCGCTAGGGGGCCCAAAATCTAATCAGTTCCACGTCTCATTAAGATCTACCCACTTACCAAATCCATCGTAGCCTTCTTGAGTTATCGTGTTGACACACACACAGACACACGAACGCCTACGAAAACATAACCTTCTTGGCGAAGGTAACTAATTGCACAGCAACTGTAACAGGTACAAAAACAATGTCGAGTTCTTGAGCAATACTGAATGTCAAGACTGATGTCGACACAATTTTCTCTAAAAAATGCTAAGAAGTTCTGTACAAACTAGAAGACTTTCCCACATCTCGTACCAATCCAGACCAGTGCAATGTCTATGGCGGTATATCTGTGTTGAAAAGCTAGATAATAATTAGCTACATAATTAACTTCCCTTGTTTCAATAGAGCTAGTTTGATGATTCTATCCCTTCTTTTCCAGGTCAATGGTTGGAACGTGATTCGTCATGGGTCGTAGACTCTTCCGGTGTGTGGGTTGACGACAAAGGTAGGGCATACGATGCCGCAAAAGCCTTGGATGGTGACAAAGGGACCTACTGGAACGCACAAGCTAAAGGACAAAGAACATACAACTATAACAACTGGTACTTCGTGCTGGACCTTATAACGTCCCACACTCTGACCCGCATCGCAGTCAACAACTACGGAGACACCACCCATGACACTGCAGCCTTCACCTTACAAAAGTCTCAGGCCGGAAGTCCATACACCTGGGAGGACGTCGTGTCTGTCGATAACGTGACCGGAGGGACACGGCAGCGCCAGGAGTTCGGCGGGTTCCAGGGAACAGCGCGGTACTGGAGGTTCGTGGTCACGCGGACCCACTCGGGCTGGCAGCCATGGCTCCCAGAGCTGGACTTCTACGGAATCTTACGAGGTAAAGGAAAGCATCATTCTTGTCAGTCGGTTTTTCGTGTTCGCAGCTAATACACACGTTTCACTTTGTTTAATCAGCATGTAACTGCAGGCATGCCCGTGTGATATACGTATTTTTTCCGTAGTGGTTTTTGTGGTCAATGTAATATTTCAGAACCACCCCTACATTTAACGGCCACTTAGGACTGGTCGTAAAAAACCGTTGTTTTGAATTGCAGAGGCGCGTTTTTTTTCGTGCAGACGCTACGGTTGGTCGTTGGTTAGAACAGCTACTGCCTCGCAAGTGCAGGAGGTCGTTTTCAAATACGTTCGCAGCTACAAGTCATGGTTGTCTTTGTTGTATTTCTACGTACAGGCAATTGGGCATGTGGTGTGTCAGTGTTGATGCACGTTATGTTCTTTTTACCGTAGCGCGTAGAAGAACCGTGAAATAAATGCACAATTTAAAAACACCCCTATTTCTATAATCATGTGGAATTGGCCGTAGTTTAGTCGTATGGTAGGGTGAGTTGCTATTAGATGTTAGGTTGTTTTTGTGTATTCGTTTGCGAGTATCTGTTGGGATTGTGACTTATAGTTTGCACATTCTACGATATCTTGTCAAGTGAATTATATGTAGTAGATTTATTTATTAATTTTTATTTTGCGCGAAAATACAAAATACGTAGTGAAGTAAATCAAAAGTTAAAAAAAACTAGAAAGGCCAATATTTGCTTTGGAGCAAATACAGCGATGGGTTCACCACATTTTACGACATGGCAGGGAAAGAATGAGAAACACAAGGGAAAACAATGATTTACATTGATATAACTATAATATGAAGTAACATACAACTAAAACAACAGTTGGATAGCTATTCCCTACTTTATTGGTTAGGGTTTTTAATTGCATAATGCAAACTGTTGATTTTCAAAAAAAAAGAAAAAAAAACGTTCATGCCCCGCATTCCAATGCTGGAGCAGAAAAGCTTGAAATACCTACCAAAACACTTGAATAAAGACATACTGTCAGTATGGAAATGCTCTGTGCAGGTGTTAATCAAGTTAAATCCCAACAGCCAATCAGCAAGAAGTATAGAGGAAAGCTGCATGCCTATTGGTTGATGCCCTGCATTCCATTGTGATGACTCATGCCCAGACGTGGTAAACACGGCACACTAACACAGTAATACATTTGCTATAACACAGCCAAAAAACTCAATTAAAACCATTCTAAAAGCCTGTATCACAAAAATTTAAAAAACGCCTAGGGGTATTTGCCCACTGTACCTCCATACCAAATTTCAGGACCTTAGGCCCTAAAATGAAGAAGCTGAATCCATTTAAAAATGGCAGGAGAAGGAGAAGGAGAAGAAGAAACATCAGAAAAAGCAATATGGGTTCACCACCACTTCGTGGTGTGGTGAACCCATAATAAGAAGAAAAATGAACGTGATTACATGGATCACTGGAGGCAAATCAGACTTCTCAACATTACTTTATATGAGACGTTCTGCCTAAGTGCACATTAGGCCACACCGATTAAATTTTATGGATGACTTCCGCGCGCACATTGATTTTTATCTGATCTCGGGCTCTGACCTGGCTCTTGGCCTCGGTAGTCCACGATATTTAGCGACAATACGGAGCCGGTGGTAACTATGGAGGATAATACCCAGGCTAACGACTCCTCGACTCAAAAACTCCGCAAAAAAAAAAACAACAGCATATGCCGGCTTGTAGTATACGTTGCTATTTACTGCCGCAAATTCACATACCAGCTTAAAGTTTGTAGAATCCTGTGGTTGAGTAGCATTTTTACTTTTGGCCTGATTTTTTTTTTATTCGCCCGCGCGCACTAGTTTTGGGCTCTTCGGGGATGTTATCCATAAGGCCATGTTGATTTGATTATATGGATGACATCCGCGCACGCATGAATTTTCGTCCATTTCCAAAAAAAAAAGTTTTCAACCATACTGTAAATCGTGCAAAACAGTTGCTAAATGAGCAAAAATATACCATAAGTTGCAAGGAAAACATTTAGAAACGATACCAATGTCGTAGAATGCCAAAATCAAAGGAAAAAAGACAAAAATGTAAAGAAATGAATTCGAAGAGTAGATTATTCGTCATAACATATTCTGTGCCATTTGTTCAACCTTCATGACCACGTAGATTTCATAGTGAAATCAACTTTTTTTTTGCAAAACTTTTTTTTTATTCGCACGCGCGCATCAGTTTTGGGGTTCCCAGAGGATGTCATTCATATAATCAAATCAACGTTGCCTAAAATGAAGTCGGTTTGGCCTTATGCACAATACATTACGGCTTTCGCGCAGGTGCAGTACTGAATTTTTTTCCCACCAAACCCAACCTCTGCAGGCAGTCAAAAGCTTCAATGGGCTATAAACCTAATCGCTTCAACACATTTCAGTCGTTCTGCAAGGAGGTGTGAACCAGACGAATGAATAGGCACAATCAGCAGGAGGCTTGTGGCCCAATGAATGCCTTTCTGACTGGCTAGATGTGTGATAATCCACCGCAATAAAATGGATATCCCTAATGACAGTTTGATGGTTTCCGGGGAGGGGCACTATCGCCTGTTTTGAATAGCTTTTAATAGGTTTGCCCCTCCCCGGGGTGAGGTTGGGTTTGGTGGGAAAAAAAATCAGTGCAAAAGAGAACCCCCCCCCCAAAAAGCCTAAAAACACACTAAAAATACCCCCAAAACCCAAACCTCTGCTTGGAGAGTACCATTTAACCTCATGGAGAGGGGTTGGCAGAACTGCTTATTAGTACCTCCCTGGTGTCATAAGCCCCATAGGTTACAGGTCTCCCATGCACCATACCCATGCTTTCTGACTTTTCTAATGTCCAGCACATCTATAGAGGATTTTACTACCTTACATGAAGTAGGTAAGTGCTGACCAATACGCTGTTATTTTTGATTGCCATATCAATTACTGTGGTTCAAGCAGGCACTCTAAATGTTTTTTAAAAAGCAATGAGTAAAATGTATAATTCGTCAACTGCAACGGTTAACATTATTTGGCGAAGGTATGAGATCGTGGAGCTCTTGTTAATTTTCTTTTTTTTTTTCAACAGGTTGTCCAATAGCAGGCTACGTTGGTTTTGACGGAATTTGCTACAAGAGCTTCACGGAGGAGAAGACGCGCGATGAAGCTAGACAGGCTTGTGCAGCAGACGGAGGGGTTTTAGCCATGCCGAGGGACAGTGCCACCAATACTTTTCTCGCTAATCTAGCAGTTGTAGTTTGGGGTCGCTGGTTTGGGCTGACTGACGTCAACAATGGCGGCCAGTGGGTATTTGAGGACGGCCAGAACCTGACATCATCCGGCTATTCCAACTGGCTCCCCGGGGAACCACGACCCGACTACGGTAAAGGTGGCTGTGTGGGATTTTGGGAGGACGGATCCTTCTGGGATGAGAAAGACTGCAGCAACCTCAGAGGATTTATCTGCCAGCTGCAACTGCAAGGTATGCACCCTTGGCCTCTCTATAATCTTAATGTCTAATGGGCTAATAGTAATAGTAACCTGTCCTTCAGGTTGCATCAGCGCGTTGCGGAGGGTGGTGTGGCCATTGTTGGCCTGTTGGAAAGACCCTGCCCCTCTCCCATTCACAATGTGACATCAGCAGCCAAAACAGTAAGTAAGGCACTGTAAATGTAAATGTTATCGGCAAGCTTTGATTGTATCCAATGCAATTTCAGTGTGGCAAAACAAACATATTCTGGATGACTACATCTGGGTTATATTGACATGTACTGCTATTTCTTTGCAGCTTTTCGCCATCGTTTTATACAAGTCATGAATCGTGTGTGTAAGATGTACGTTTGTTTCTTTTTTTTTTGTATCACCAATAAATGTAAGAAACAGCCTACGATATGGAATTTTTTCATCAGCGACAAGGCATTTTTCTAACAGATATCAGCTTGTTATAGGATATGTTTCATTCAACCTCCCACATTAAAGAATGGTCAAACAAGAGACTTTGACAATCCCGTTTTACAGCTATGTATCTGTATCTGTATAGTCGGCATAACCGCATTTTGGCGTAACACACCAGCTACAAAATCACTTTTAACGCCTTCAATGTATGCTTATACCGGTCTTCTCTTTGTGATGATATGACACACTTATTATTTAAAGTTTCCAGAAGATCTCTTAATGGACGTGCTATCCGGTTGTACAACAACAGACCAACACTTGATACACAGTAATTACTTTGTATATATGTAATGCTAAGTGTGTTCGCTTTGCTTTTATGGATCGATTTAGGTTGTAATTGAGATGCTGTTTTTTTAAAGATATTCTGCGTGTAACGTTACTTGTAATGTAAAATTTCGTAATATGTACATTGATTCATGTATTATGTAACTAGGACGTAATTCGGGCAATTTTTGCCCGCGAGGTCCTTTGGACTTTTAGTAAACTTGTAAATGCCTTAACGACAAGGAGATTTTCAAGAACGTATACTTTCGCTAAGTGATGTTTAACCCTAAACAGTACACCTGGGGTCCGCGCGGACCCCAGCACTATATATTCTGTAATATCTTTTTTGTTTCTAAAGATTTTTTTCTGAAATTTTAGGTTATTGTCACCCACAAAGTTGTCTCTCAATACAGTGCAGAAAACTCCGTTTCTACCATTTATAAAAAAAATTATATCTGATTTTCTTTTGGGGTCCGCGCGGACCCCAGCCGGCTTTCGATCATAATGGATACACTGGCGTTCTTATACATTACCTTATTTCCGTTTTTATATGATTTTATGCACTCATCGTATGTCTACCAAGTTTTCAGAGAATGGTGTAGTAATAGAATTAAATTTTGATAACTTTGGTGTAATTATGACGTCATATGACGTCAGAGCTAATAATAGAGTCCGCCATATTGGATTTTGACCAATGACGTCATTAAATTAGCATATTCTATGCATATTAAATGATTTAACATACATTTATTTATGTAAGATGTTATTAATGTTGGAAAAGAAGTGTAATTTAATATAAAACTCAGAAAATTTTTATGTTTAAACCAAAATTACTTCTATTTTCAAAAAAACTGCCTGCTAGAAACCCGTTGCCATGGCAACACAAAAAAACATCAACTTACTAGTATTCAACTAATATGAACTTTTTTCCAGAGACATTTTAGGAAAGGTCTCCAAATTTGATACTTCTAGCGCAACCCGTTTAGCCGCTATCTGAGATCAAAGTTGGGCCTCAAAAGCCCCTTCAGTCTGAAATGGGTTTAAAAATCGGGTATTTCTTCTTGTCTTCTTTTCTTCGCCAAAAAATAGAAAAAGTTCAAAATGTATGATTTTTGTATGTAATGTGGACACAGAGGTTCCCACATCAGTTGGCAAAACAATGGAGCTGGTAGCATGTTGATAATTTCTAAAAATTAGCAAAAAACTGTTCTGGGGTCCGCGCGGACCCCAGGTGTACAGATTAATCAGTCCGGGAAGGTGTACTGTTGAGGGTTAACTTTACAACTGACGAATGATGTTCCTTATTAATAATGCAAATGTAGTCCCAATTTGCATGAAATCAGTTGATCATATTTTCAGATGACCTCTTATCTTATCAGTAAAGCCTATTCTAAAGTTTTCTTAATTATCATCGGTATATCAAGTCATGATTATTATCCATTACGACAGATTACTGTATAGAGGAGTCTGTTGACACCGAAGCCGGACAGGTGACTTTTTCACGTACAGACGGCGGAAGTTTCAACTACTCTGCTGAACGCTGTAACTCGTCCGAAGGAAATGGTACGAAAATTTAACCTCCAAATTTTGACATTTTTTTTTACCATCAAACGGGTAGGACTTTGATTTTGGGACTATGACTCTGTTTTGACTTTTTAATGTATACTGTATGTACTGAAAACAGCTATCGTAAGCTGAATGTACATATGGATAAATAAATGACCCTATTTATAAAACCTTTAATAAATGTTTACGTGGGTTTACGTGTGTCTCTGTTTTGTGACTGGTAAACAGGGTGGATTTGGACCAAAATCATGTGATGGAAATTGGCACTTATGAAATAGAGCAGAATCCTGTTAATTTCATTTTTGCGTTTCAAAGTCAGAGAAATAGTTTCAAGGGTACACCATCTCATAATTGTTCTGAGCAAAGATAATAACTACATACGCATGAAAACGACGTTTTGTCTGTTTGTATAACCTCTACATGTGAACATAACAGCTTTGTACGTTGATTAAGTAGAAAGTTTGAAAGAGTGACATGTTTGATCCAGTAAGGACACCGTGATTCTCCTTGAACACGCCAAAATACAAATCTTCTACATAACGTTCTGTCAGCCAGGGGGGACGTTTTTTAATTGAAGATAGTTATTTGTTTCCACCAGATCAGAGTGCGGAAATTAATGTTAAAAGCTGGGAGGAAACGTTGAAACCTGCTTGAGATTCGAACTCAGTACTTTAGGCTTCAAGAAATTTATAGACCACCATGCATTATACACTCCATATTGTTCCCAACAGAGAAGCCCCTGGCTACTCGTTTCTGCCGGATCATACCGGATTCAACTGCAGTGTGGGACCAGCCTGTCGTCCTCAGGTGTGATACTGACTTACACAATCTGTCTCAGGTACGTATCAAAGTGTCCCACCTAAGTGTTCACACCAAACTGTCCCACGTGTTTACACCAAACTTTCCCAGGTAAGTGTTCACACCAAACTGTCCCAAGTAAGTGTTTACACCAAACTGTCTCAGGTACGTGTCCACACCAAACTGTCCCAGGTACGTGTCCACACCAAACTGTCCCGGGTAAGTGTTTACGCCAAACTGTCCCAGGTAAGTGTTCACACCAAACTGTCCCAAGTAAGTGTTCACACCAAAGTGTCCCAAGTAAATGTTTGCACCAATCTGCCCAGGCAAGTGTTTACACCAAACTGTCCCAGGTAAGTGTTTGGACCAAACTGTCCCAGGTACGTGTTTACACCAAACTGTTCCAGGTAAGTGTTTACACCAAACTGTCTCAGGTACGTGTTTACACCAAACTGTCTCAGGTACGTATTTACACCAAACCGTCTCAGGTAAGTATTTACACCAAACTGTCTCAGGTACGTATTTACACCAAACTGTCTCAGGTACGTATTCACACCAAACTGTTTCAGGTACGTATTTACACCAAATGTCTCAGGTACGTATTTACACCAAACTGTCTCAGGTACGTATTTACACCAAACTGTCCCAGGCACGTATTTACACCAAACTGTCTCAGGTACGTATTTACACCAAACTACCTCAGGTACGTATTATACCAAACTGTCTCAGGTACGTATTTACACCAAACTGTCTCAGGTACGTATTTACACCAAACTGTCTCAGGTACGTGTTTACACCAAACTGTCTCAGGTACGTCTTTACACCAAACTGTCTCAGGTACGTGTTTACACCAAACTGTCTCAAGTACGTATTTACACAAAACCGTCTCAGGTACGTGTTTACATCAAAGTGTCCCACGTGTTTACACCAAACTGTCTCATGTACGTGTTTACACCAAACTGTCTCAGGTACGTATTTACACCAAACTGTCTCAGGTACGTGTTTACAACAAAGTGTCCCACGTGTTTACACCAAACTGTCTCAGGTACGTGTTTACACCAAACTGTCTCAGGTACGTGTTTACACCAAACTGTCTCATGAACGTATTTACACCAAACTGTCTCATGTACGTGTTTACACCAAACTGTCTCAGGTACGTATGTACACCAAACTGTCTCAGGTACGTGTTTACATCAAAGTGTCCCACGTGTTTACACCAAACTGTCTCAGGTATGTGTTAACACAAAACTGTCCCGCGTTAGTGTTTATACCAAACTGTCCCAGGTACGTGTTTACACCAAACTGCCCCAGGTTTTTGGACCAGACTGTCCCAGGTGTTTACGCCAAACTGTCCCACCAAACTGTCCCAAGTAATTGTATACATAGCACCGTCCCAGGTAAGTGTTCCCACTAAACTGTCCTATCTGTTTACACCGAACTGTGTCAGGCACGCATTTACACCAAACTGTCCCAGGTACACCTACGTACTAAAATGATATCTTAAAAGGGTATCTAGCAATTAGGATAATATTTGGGATGGTTTAATTTGCTCCTTCAAGCACTTTCTCTTACTGCAGCGGACGTTTTGTATTTTGCAGATTGTAGTGAACAACATAACAGCTCTGTCTGTGGCAACTGAACTTCAGGTCATCACAACGCAGGCCGAAACGCTCTCGTCTGGTGATGTTAGCACCATTACAGACATATTACAGAAAATAGTCAACGCCAGCGCCACTGAGCAGGTCAGATTTTACTTTACAATTTCCTATTTTTACCACTTGCTATCCTCTATGACCTTGTTTTAAATCAGGTCTTTTTACAACCATTATTTAATCAACATCAACATCTATTGCATGCTGGGTTTTGCAATAGACTGTATAATATTTCTATTCTCCAGATCGGAGAATCCATTCTGACAATTGCAGATAACTTCATGAAGGTCAACGAAACTGTACTTCTAGATAGCCATCAAACAGATAGAGCCCCAACAAGGTAACGTCACAAAGTTCTCAAAGATACCTTATTTTACTAATGTATGTGCATCGATATTGTATGCCTGCCTGCCTGCCTTCGGCAGATATTGTATGCGTTTTGGATAATTAAACTAATATAAGACAACATTACAACTTTTAACACATTGAATATATCTGTATTGACAAAAGAGAAATTACTACGTTGAACGTGCTGTGTTGTATTGACAAAGAGAAAATTACTACGTTGAACGTGCTGTGTTGTATTGACAAAATAGAAAATTACTACGTTGAACGTGCTGTGTTGTGTTGACAAAAGAGAAATTACTACGTTGAACGTGCTGTGTTGTGTTGACAAAATAGAAATTACTACGTTGAACGTGCTGTGTTGTATTGACAAAATAGAAATTACTACGTTGAACGTGCTGTGTTGTATTGACAAAGAGAAAATTACTACGTTGAACGTGCTGTGTTGTATTGACAAAAGAGAAAATAACTACGTTTTACTCGTTACAGCCAAGTAGAATACAGACAATATTTTACCTTATGCAGAGTTCTTCAAGCATTGGAGATGTTTGCAGACAGAGTGGATCTGAGTACAGACAGGTTCACCTCCAAGCGACAGGACGTGGCACTGCAGGCAGCTGGCGTCAGTGTGCAGGAATTTGATCAGGGCCAAGGTCAGGATGAGAGTCAATCGGAGATTTTATGTGTGGAATAGGCTACAATTCAACAACTCAAAAGGAAACATTTATATTTTATTTTAACATTTATTTACCACATTTCTTGAACTGTTGTCATGACAGGTGAATATCACATACCTGAGACCAGACTGTAAGGTTTTAATTACTCACATAGTAATATTTAAAAAAATAACTACTCTTTTTAGAAAGTATGAAAGTATGGTGGGATCTTTAATATGCTGAAGGTGTGGCCAACTTTAAACACGGAAGAAAACGGTCAAATTTGCCTCCGATTTAAATGAAATTCGTTTCGATTCGTGAAGAAAGGTACCCTGAGCCGATCCTGATCAGCTGGTGTTCGGGCACCTTAGAAATAGATTTGGGGAAACGTGAATATGTGACATGGGCTCAAGCATGCATCAAAACATTCGAAAAGGTTCCGTTGGTTCAGGCGACTAAGCAACATGAAAGGGATGCCTGTAGGCGCATGCTTTATTGCATACTTAAAACTATGGGATTTAATACAGAGGGCTGATATTGTTCTAAAACTCATTGTTTTACCCCAGGACTTGCCTTGTTTCTGAACGAAAACAGTTCTAACAGCCTGAGTGAAGGCCGGCTGTTCAGCTTTACCAAGGAGGATGAAAGAGAGGGATTTTTACAGACTGCTGACATTGATGTCTCCATCAGTCTGCCTGCCAACCTCTCGAACGTACTACCTTTAGACAACACAACAGGTATTTGATATCTTAATTTGTTGAGATTTACCGCATATGTGTAAGGATTGGCGTAACAAATCAGCAGCTATGAAAGTAGGCTCACTGCTCCGAGCCAGAAACTACCTAACTCCTGCAAGTATTTTGTATCTGTACAAATCCACCATCCGTCCTTGCATGGAGTATTGCTCGCATCTCTGGGCTGGTGCCCCAAAAGATTGCCTACATATTTTAGACCGCATTCAAAGGAGAATCTGTGTTGCCATCGGCCATTCTCTGGCCGCAAAGCTGGATTCCCTCTCAGACGCAATATCACATCCCTATCCCTTTTCTACAGATACTTTCACGGTCGGTGTTCAGGAGAACTTGCACTTCTTGTTCCGCCGCTCAGAACTTTTCAGCGTGCCACTAGGTTCTCTTCGAGTTCTCATCAATACACCGTTAACATACCTGTCTCCAAGTCATTTTACAACAACAGCTACTTTCCCCGGACTGCAAAATTATGGAACTCCCTTCCAAACAGTTGCTTTCCGTCCGATTACAATCCACAAAGCTTCAAAACAAAGGTCCACCGCCATCTCCTGACATAACTACATTATACTGACTTAAGTACCTCTAGCTCTATGCCTAGAAGTGGCCAAAAATGATTGGCCTTGCATTGAGCGACACCGTTAAAAAACAAGTCACTTTCACCCTTCAAGATGTCAAGCCCGAGATGAAATGAGGCTAATGTTTAGTTCACAGCCCAGATGCTAGCATTAATTGCGAGCGAGGAACCTACAAAATACGTCGTAGTCATCTATGTCGTATTACCTCAAAATACGCGGATGGCTAAAACTACCTCATATTTTCCTAAAAATACGCGGATGGCTAACTACGCCGTATTTGAAATACTTGTATGTACGTCGATGGCTAAACTACGTCGTAAAAATACGTCGTAAATGCGTCGTAAATCCGCGGATGGCGGATGTTGTGAAACCTTTAGCGTACTCAAAGTGTGGCTCTCGGAAACACGGTTTTGACAATGCATTATCACTCCATATATACCTCTGGGTGGTTCATTAACCCTTTTTTTACAAAAGGTAGATAGACGAAAAGCTTTCAAACAAGCCATGAACTGCGTTTCGTAGATGGCTTGTATTACCTGCACATACACTAGATGACTAGCTAAAATGAAAGTAATAAAGCACATTTAAACTGTAACATGAAATTTCCAACACACAAATGTTCGACCGTACAACGATCTTTATTTAGGAATGGACAATGTAGAAATTACAGTGAAAAGTCGATTCAAAATGACTTCTAACAAGTGAACACAGATGAACTTTCGAAGTAAATGGAACATTATCTTGGTTAAACTGAAACCTACATATATACCACGGCGGTCTGTCACTACGGCATTCTTTCCCATTGCTATGCGCGTTCGAAAAGGTATCGGGTTACAAGACGCTATTTTGGCCTGTTTTGGACTACCCGTAAAATATTTAAAAATACACAAATAATATTTAGGGGTAAATTTCGTCAAATTAGAATGAAATTATCGTCTTACTATCCTTTAAATGTTAGCTTGTTATGTTAAATCAATGATTTTTTAAAATTTCGCTCAGAAAGACAATTATTTTCGGGTTTCCGAGCACAAGTCATATCACGTTTTTAGGCAAACATCGTTCAAACCTGGCTACGTATATTACCCCAGATCCCCGATTTTTATATTTTTAGCAGACTAGGAATAAGACAAAAAATCGTGTTTTAGGGATTTTTTAATTTCTGATTTTAAGTCTAGTTTTTCACGGTCGACATATTGGTGAAAAAATGGCATTTTTTGACATTTTTCTCACTGAATTACCCATAATTCAAAATTGAGGCCATTTTTAAAAAATCCCTAAAACACGATTTTCGGGACAACCGTTACGGTCATTTTGATCCGTAAATGGGGTATGTTAGACTCTCCATGTTTCCAGGTTTGAACGAGGTTTGGAGACATGTCATATCGCCAGAAAGTGTGCATTGTGTTATTCATACTAGCGTAAAGAATCATTACAGTATTCAAGGTCACTCAAGGACACGACAGTAGCTTCGCTACATGTTACATGTCCACCAAAAATAATAGCGGACATGTACTGTCCAGGAAACTGTTTGTATCTATAGAAAAGTGTTGTTTTTTATCTGTTGCAATGCACGGAGGTAGAAAGGCTTGTTTTGCCGCTTTATAGTAAATGGCCGCAGGTGACCCCGAAATAGAACGCGGGTTCGAGTCGAATTCCCCAGATCGAACACGATCGAACACAGTTCGGGTTCTATGACATGTGGGAACTTTGCAGCCCAGATTTTACCACCGTGTACATTGTATTTTAATTAGGTTGGTAGAACATAGGCAATCAGGATTTTATTATGCACACCAGAAATTATTCCTAACTTCAGCTACACCCTTCTTTCCCTACCCAGAAGTCCGAGTGAGCTACATTTTGTACAACGACGACAGCTTGTTTGTTCAGCCTTCCCAGGATGCCGAGCGAACCCGCATCATTAGCGGTAGAATTGCAGGGATGCAGGTGAAGAACCTACCAGAGCCAGTTGTCATCACCTTTGCACCCACAAAGGTATTGTACACGGTGTTCTATTTTTACACTATGGCTATGGGATATATGAAAAGTATACAGAACGCATTTCGATGTTCACGGCGGTCGGTTGCTAGGCTAAAAGTCGCATTACTAGGGAGGTATCGGGTTACAGAACGTGTTCGAACGTGGCCGCGCGGGAGTCCCAGGCCGGCCCGGGGGCAACGGGTAAAATTTGAAAATAAACAAAAGTAATTGGAGAGTAAATACTCGTCAAAATAAAATGTAATAAGTGATTTTGTTTACCTCAAATGTTATCCTTGCACTGCCTTTGCTCCACTTTGTGTACATTTGCTTCCAAATGAGATCAATTTCGGATTTCAAAAAGGGTTCACGAGAACCAAACAACTGATTTTAAGAGGCCCCGAAAATTAAAAATAAGGTTAGATTTTTGGATTTTTAGAAATATTACTGTAAATTTAAACTTTCTGTCTTAGGATTTTTTTTTTATTTTTTAACTAAAACTCGACTTACAGTCAAAAGAAGAGCTAAAAAAGCAGGGTTTTAACTTTAAATACCGATAATTCATAATCGCGGCCATATTTCAAAAATCCCTAAGACAGAAATCTGCGGAAATCGTTCCTCTTCCATACAAGCCCTCAATGAGGTAATTTGAACGATTTTTGGGAGTGGTTAAAATACCATGCTTGCACGCATGCTGTGCCACTTGGATATGGGGACCTGGATTTTATAACAGCGTCAACAAGAATTCTGACCTTCAAGGTCACCCACGATGACGGCAGTAGCTTCGTTACATGTTACATATCCACAATAAAATCACGGCATAGATGTAATGTTTTGAAAACGGTTCATATTTGTGGAAAGGTGGATTTTTCCTGTTCCGTGGTTCCCAAGTAAAAAAAGGGCTTGAAGTAGCCGGTTGTAGCGGCTTTACTGTAAATGACCGCGGGTAACCCCAGATCGAACGCCCGCTCTATTCGAATGACGTCATATCGAACAAGATTCGCGGGTTCGGGGGATTCGATCTCCATAGTAGCAGAGTGGGACTTTTGGGCCCAAATCTGACCATCGTGGTTAAAAAGCACACAAGTCTTTTACTTCAAACCATCAGCTGATGCGTAGTAGGTTAACAGCACGTGGGAAGGCGGAAGAGTGACAAACAGAAAGTCAAAGATCTCGGGATCTGGGCGGGAGTCAAGGATTGCATACTTATCCAAAGTCTGAAGATATTTACAGATACAGCTTCAGTAATTACTAGATTATGTATACCTGTGATGTGTATGTATACGGGCACATAGAGTACATTTTATGGATGATTCCAAATCTAATGCGATGGGGTGAAAAAAAATCATTATTTAATATTTTTCTTTTTTTTTCCATTCATTGGGAAAATCACACATCAAAGGATGAAATACATCACTGTATCAAAGTAAAAGACAAACATTGAATCAGAGCATTGTCTTGTCTCCTTTAATTTTATCTGCCATTACATTCCGGCATGGCAACAGACATCTTTGCCTATTTTTGGCATGTTAACCATTATCAGAGGTCAACAAAATTTCTTTCCAAAATCAGGTGACAATTAATGCGCGCGCTGTTGACATTCATAAAAGCTACTTACTTATGAATACAAAAATGTAGGTATGTGAAATTAGTAGATAGTATATTTAATGAAAAGTATGAAAATTGAGTATGCGAAAACCTATTTGAATGAATAAAACCTACATTTTCTTATATTATTTTTTAACATTTCGGCGCATTTTAATTTCCTTTTTTTTTAATTTCCTTCTTTTTAATTTTTTTAATTTTCTTTTTTAAATTTATTTTATTTCCTATTTCTATTTTTATTTTTTATTTTATTTTATTTTCTTTTTAATTTTCTTTTTTGTGGTGCACGTGGCGGGGTTTGCACATAGCGAGTTCGATCCCCGGAGAGGAGCTTTTTTTTAATTTTCTTTATAACAGTCGCTGTTTTGCTTTTAACACTCAAAAACTAATTGTTCAAGTCCCGACGTATGAGTTTTTTAAATTTTCTTTTTAACATCCGCTGTTTTGCTTTTTTTATCAGATGTGTTTTCTTCTTTCAGTGGTCTCGTACCAATTTCATCAACTTGGGTAATATTATTATTTCAACAACTTCTACACCTCAATAACGGCAGTAAAACCTTCGTCAGCCGAAATGTCAGCTTTTTTTTAAAAGCACTTGTTTTATTTTCAGGAAGTTTCTGATGAAGAAGGTTAAGTGGTGAGATGTGTGTTCTGGGACTTTGAGGCTGAAGCAGGACAAGGGGCGTGGTCATCAGATGGGTGTATGAGTCAGGGCAAGGCCAACGGACGGTACACGTGTACCTGTGACCACCTCACCAACTTCGCTGTGCTCTTCGTAAGTCAGGCTATTTCTATATTCACAATACGCACGTATCAAAATACCCTTACGGTTACGTCCTTTGAAGGCTAGACATTCAGGTATAAAATTTACAAAGATATTGTTACTCAAGCAACTGAATAGGTTTTGGAAATTGTGAAACGTTTCAGGTAGCATCCACTACTTTTCTTACTTTTCAGCAGCAATAACGTCTAATTTTTTTGTTTCTTGTGATCTGTCTAAATTATTGCCTTCATATACATAATTTACACCTCAATTTATCGTCAATCCAATTTAAACGTCAATTCATACCTTTTACTATAGATAAACACATGTTAAACCGGAGATTCCGCTTATCCTTGCCGAAAATCAGTGATATGTGTGATAATATTTTTTCCGCAATCTTCGAAGACGGAGACATTGAAATTGGGCTATGTGGGCCGTCAGGCAACAAAATTGCATATTTGCGGCAGACTAAAAGCAATATCTCCATTATATATTAAATATAGATCTTAGGACACAGGCCGTCATAAGTTTCAGGTTTAAAACTGTTTTTTTTTTGTGTGTGTGTGGTGTTTGGGTCTTTTACTCTTTTAATTGTTAGGTACTTTTGGAATCATGGGCTCAGGATCCGGTGCGTTAAACTGTTCAACAGCAGTAATCTCCCAAGGCCAGTAGGTGTTTATTTGTGGAGGGGCTTCACTTCTCAATGTCTCGTCGCAGGAAGGAAGGGGCGTCCTCTTCAGGAGACCTGGATTGCTGCCATTTGCGATCTCCCATGGCCAGTAGGTGTTTGGTACAGTGGGTATCGGACGCTCCAAAGGCAATGGGTTAGAATGTGCTTTTAATGGCACTTCCCACGGCCTGTAGGTGTTTGTTTGCATTTGGTTTGATGTGACTTCATTTTGCTGTGTCTCATTGCATGTACTGCGGAGCAAAGGGAGGGACGCATGCCGTCGTAGTGTGATTGGACCCCTTTCAATCTTCCATGGCCAGTAGTTTAACAGTGCTCCAGATGGGCAGTAGGTAGTTTGAGGTATGTCGAAGGACGTTCGCCTTGGTGTGGTGCTGTCATCTTTACTCTGGAGCTCCTTTGTCCTGTTTAGAAGTTCGGGAAGGGATGCTGATCGCCGTGAGTTACGCCAGTAGCCTTCACCCTCGACGATTTGCCATGGCCAGTTGGTATTTGGTTGTGAGGTCTGTAAAGCTGCATCATTTAGTTGAACGTTCTGATGAAGTTGTCCCTGCGTCGATTGTGAACTAGAAGCTGGCGGTTTTGCATGAGCTGGCATGCCTTGTCTGTTTGGAGCATCCTCTGCCTTTCCGTATATCTTTACTCGGTGGGATTTGGATCTTCCATACACACCTTTATTTTGGATAGTGGTCTTCTTGAGATGGAGTGAACTTCTGCCCAGGCTGACATGGAAACAACCCTTGTCTCTTGGCTTTCCGTAGAACGTCACACGATGGGATCTCAGTCTGTCATGCCGAGTCTTACGTGAATTTGGGTGAATTTGGTTGTCGAGGTAAATGCTGCCTAGGCCCTGCCCATTCCCCGTAACTACAGGAATCGTCAAATCAACGGCAACTGCATAGTATGGCAACGGCGCATCTTCGCCATCTTCGGCGCTGTCTGGAATGTTGCAATACGTCTGTTCGGTGGTGGGTAGAGCAGCAGGCAGCGACTGACAGGAGACTTCGTCTTCCAACCGTGTGCGAGTTATGGTAGGAATCTTCATAAAGGAGGCCGATCTGGTCACTTCAGACATACCGCCATCTGGGATTTCCCAGTACGTGTGAAGTGCATGGTCAGTATCGTCTGGGATCTCAGAGTAGTTGGGTTCGATTGAACTAAGGTTTGTAGGCAGCGATCTGCAAGATGTTAGTTGGCGGTGTGGAACGCCGCCGTGTTGCTGCGAAATGGCGGGGAGGGAAGAAGACCTTGCCCGCCCAGGTTTCGCACGCGGTACGATGCGGAACCGGTCCTCCTTATTTTTGAAGATTACGAACTTCTTTAGCATCGCAGTGGCGAGTGCTAGACATAGACCTAGTAACGGCACCAGCGGAGAGGCAGCATAGATGGAAATGTCCTGGTGGGTCGGTCTGCTTAAGACAGTACAGGCTTGCCTAGTGAAAGCCGGTGACGTAGTGGTCTGATGATGTGACGTCTGCACTAGCTGAGTCTGGTTCTTCGGCACAGGTGTCTTCTGGCCGGAATCTGGATATGTTTTGTTGTACCTTATTTCGTTTTCTTCAGATACATTGAGCACCATGCGACTCGTTTTTCCATTGGCCAGTACAAAGCAGGTTATGTTTCTAACGTTTGTTTGACTGAACGTATTCAGGTTTCCGTCAGTGGCTGAGTTACTTGTACTGGTGCTCTGCGTCGTTCTATCCAAAGTAAAGGTAAGGGCTTTGGTTTCGTTTCCTTCCAATATGGAAGTGAATCGTATGCGCAAACCACCATTTAAAACCACAATCAATCCACTGTTATGTTCCCATCCCTGTCTACACCTGGCAGTGTCATCGTTGGGTGTATATTGGTCGGAATATCCAGTCTTCAACAAGACAAGAATGTTTGCATGGCTGTTGATTGTTGTCAAGAGGTTGTTCGGCATGCCGCATGAGGTGTTTTGCATTGGAACACTCCTGGGGTCATAATATGCGTATTCGTTATATTTCCACGTCAAAGTCTGTTCGTGGTTTAACGGGTCATGGGTGAAACAGAGAAGGTACCTGGAGACCCTAAGTGACACGTCCTGTCTCCTGATGTGAGGCGACTCACGATCAGTTTTGTGATTGTGGACAAGAAGGCTCCACGCCCTCTCATGCACCACCGTGCTACGAACAAAGCCCAACCTTCCACCGACAACGCGAAGAATGGAAGGAACGCTTTTTGTCCCCCAAAAAGTGTCCCCGTCCAAAAACTGAAAGTTCCCACTTAGAGCCAAATCGTCGAGGTCATTTAGGTGCTGGAATGCACCCGGAGGAATGCTGTTTGATTCCAATCGGAGCTCCGCCAGGTTCTGAAGCGTACAGAACCAGTCCGGGTCTACTGTCTGCAGATTGTTATTCTGCAGATTTAAGATCTGAAGCAAACTCAGGTTCATAAAAGAACCAGTTTCCACACTTACAATTCTGTTATTGGACAAGCTCAGCGTGTGGAGACTTTTCAAACCAGAGAACGACTTTTGCCTGATACACGTGATTTTGTTGAAGTCTAGTATCAACATCAATAGGTTAGAAGACTTGGCCAGGACATTCTCTTCAATATTTGTGATTTCGCATTTCACCAGGGCAATGGTCGTGGTACACTCAAGGCAAAGGCCCTCCAGTGTTTGTTCCGATAGGAGTTCGACTGGATACCACGCTACTGCAACCACAGTTGCGTACCTGCCAATGCAAGGTATTACCTGAGGTGCAGCTACTGTTCCATCTACATGTATACCTTTGCACACGGTCCATTTATTGAGGGTTACTAGCCTCGTCAAATCCCCTTCAAGATTAGGTCGGATGTGCTCAGCTAAAGGTATAGGCAGGATTATTCTTCCACAATACTGGGGGCAGAAGCCGACAAAAGCCGTACAAGCTGAAACCCAAACCAGGACGATTAACAAGGCACCGCTTGCTTTCCGAAAGACGCATTGTTTCCCGAACGCCATTTGATGCTACATGTATGCTTCTTTTCTAGAACCTATGTGGCATCGCGTGGCGCCATGGTCAGACTGTTCGGCTCGGAACCAAGACGTCCTAAGTTCAATCTCCTGACATCTCCGGTATTGCGCTCTTGGGCCTTTCAGCTAATCGTTGATACTGCACACAATAACTCCATGTCATAAGGACACCAAACGGAGTTGGTGTCGCCTATGTGCCAAGACCTGGGCATTTGCCTCTAAGAACCGTGATTTTTTTAAATACTATTTCAAAGTCTTCACACTGACCTTGCCTGTTGTTCCTCCGTGACACCGGAGGTTCAACCTGTAGTGTAAAGATACCGTATTTCCGTTATATCATCGTTATTTCCCTCCACATTTACAGGCAAAGAAACAACTCTTTCAACTCTTTCCCACAATTTTTTTTAGCAAATTGACAACAAAATTTTCTACATGTACTTACCTTATTTTATCACGTTTTTCGTCTTATTTGCGCTCGCTCGTCTGTGTCCGCTATCCTGCTCATGTACTGGCTGTCATAGATTACACCTCTCTCTGGAGAAGATCGTTTTCCTATAACTATAGTTCTTACTCAAATAACTACTTCCCAACCGACCCTCTCTTATATATATCCCTATGTTGTTGGTTTTTTTTTTCTAATTCTATAGAACCCTGTCCTAATCGGGCACAGAAAGACTTACTTAGACTTAGGGGCTCCCGCGTGTTGTGACGCATGAGGCAGTCAAAGTAGCCCAGCTGTCTCTGTCGGCAGCCAGCCTCATGGCTTCCTTCCAGCTCTTGTTGACTGCTTGGCGGTCCCTCTCGACTGTCTGTTGCCAGTTTATCTATGGACGTCCCCTCCTTCTCCGTCGTTCTTGACACCACTGTAGAACCTGGTTGGCGAGTCTGACAGGCGGGAGTCTGACAGTCTGTCCTAACCAGCTAAAACGGCGTTTACTTATGATGGAGGGCACTGGTTGCAGATTGGCTTGGAGTTTTATAAGGGAAAAGTCGCTCCATCTAATGCCTAGCACAAAAAGCATTTACATTTTTTAATCTCCTGGGATTTTGCGGACAAATTAATTACATGGTAGAAGAAAGACTGATAAGAAATAATGCCTGTAAAGTATAAAATATAATTGCAACAAAATTATTTTGATTGAAAAAGTTGGGTAGACAAATGAAATCAGAAATGTAACTAGGTTATCACACACCTTTAAACGATGCTTTTAAATTGATTTGTCTACTCGGGGCCCTATTTTCCAAACTGTCCTATAATTTTACAGACGAATCTATTACTTGGAAAATGAAAAATGCAGAGGAATATATAACATAATGCTTATAACAAGATAGCCATGGGGTCCGGGTGCTAGTGTCACGGAAATACAAACCTATAGTGGGCATCGCTGAAAGAAAGACGAAAAATGTACCAACTGTGCATGGTGTACGAAGTTACTAACAACCTAGCGTTCCAACTAGTAAGTATCCCCCCCAGAAAAGAACAAGAAATATTCAAGCCTTCAAATACTATTATCAACGAAGCATTGGGTGTTCATTTTTTTTAACTATCGTAGAGTGGTACTAGTTGCCACCAGTTGAGACATTATCACTAGATACATGAACAATTCCTGTAGTTACATGTGCAAATTTAGGGTGTAACAGATTGTTTGGTGTGATATAGCTAACCGCCTACAAATCTGATACACCGGAGGGCGGTTATACTGGCTGTAAAGATAACATATGATTACAACAGAAGGGGTTTGATGAAATGTCTTGGTAGACAGATGAGATCTAAATGAGAATGTAACTAGGTCACCACAGCAACATCAGGCGATACCTTGATTGGTCTACTCGAGCCCCTATTACGCTATATTGATTTGTCTAGACACTTTCATTTTTCCTTGCCTGTCCGTATTTTGTATATAACTGTCCCGGTAGTTCCAGGACAAGCTGGTAGGGGGACACCCTCACGCCACATACTGCCAGCCTCAGGAGTTTCTAATATTTAAATGGAACCTGGCGCTACTACAAGAATATACCTCAAACTTTAAAGCTAACTGTGGTACTGTAGGTACCCGATTGGAGGCCCATTATGACTTGACCATCGACTTTGCATCTCTAACCATCCAGAAAATACCATCCCTAGCTTATCTGGTTATGTTGTCGAACATACAGACACGGGCCGCTGCATAAAGCGGCAGGCCAGGTAAACCATTTTCGAACTTGACCTTCCTATCTACAACCACTTCATACCTACCAAATATCTTAAAGATCCATTTGCAGCTTCTCGAGAAAGGTCCTCGAGTTATGCTGTTGTTAATACATACATGAATACAGACAAAGACCACAGAAACTCCTCCATGAGAAAACGAAAAAAAAAGGCTCATTTAGGAAGGTAATTCATATGTTTTAATTTTGGAATGCTTTTTAATCTCACAGGATGTGCATGGTTCAGGGTTTGGAGACCACGAAAGACCACTACAAACCATCACTTATGTGGGCAGTATAGTGTCCATTATTGCCCTGGTCCTCACCCTACTATCTTTCACCATTACAGGGTAGGTACTTACTAGTAGGCTGTGTTTACAATTTCAGCTCTGAAAAAGAGCTCCAGTAGGGATTTCATTGGTAGATTTGACAAGCTCATATGTTCCAGCAAATACAGTCTAACAATGTAAAACTAAAATGCATTAAAGCCAGGGCTGTCACCACATGTATTCTTGCATTTACTTGTGGGGAAGATACAAATATTTCACCCGACCAACCTTCGATGAATTTGCTTTGAATTATTTTGTAGGTCTTTTGGGGCTTGTTATACACTACAACTCCTAAATCTTAGCTCTTCGAATGACCGAGAATATATTTGAGAATATATACCAGGAAGTAGGTCGGCAAGGACCTGACCCCCCCCCCCCCCTGCGACTCTACGAGAAGGTAACGTTACATATTGTGGATTGTATAAAATTGTGCCATATTTATTTTTTCCATTCCAGGAAGCAAAGACAAAGTGCCCGTAGTCCTCATGCCAGGAACCAGCGCCTGGTCCTGATCAACCTCTGCGTGGCTTTGTTGGCCATTCTAATCACCTTTTTAGCAGGCATCGACCGAACGGCATCTCCCATTGTTTGCACTGCTGTAGCAGCTTTGTTACACTACTTCCTATTGGCTGCGCTGATGTGGATGGTAGTTGAGGCTGTAATGATCTTTCTGGCCACCGTGATGGTTTTTGGCCACTATGTGTCTGAGAGTTTTGTCTACAAGGCTGCAGTTGTAGCTTGGGGTAAGCAGACCATTTTAATACCAAACTGCCGTTAACAACGCATTTTATGCAAATTAAAGATTGTCTAAGTGCGTTTTTAAATTTTAAAGCAGCTGCAAACAACAACTTAAAAATGATTAATCTCCAGCAGAAATAGTTGGGTTTAAAGTTTTGCACAATATAATTATCATTATTGCATGACAAAACCCAATCCCTCAACACAATGCATATTTTTTTTATTATTAATTCCTGTCAATCAAATGAAACCCAATCTCCACCCGCTCATTTCGGAACCCTAACATACAAACCTAGCATCGATTAGTACCACAAAAAACATACTTCTGTCCTTAAAGTAATAGATCCTAGAACATGGGAGATAATATGTATTTCACCAAGTGAGCAGAATGTGACTTTTTTTCTGTTTCAGGCTTTCCGCTTTTTGCCATGATGTCGACTGTCGGGCCATCTAGTCTCTACGAATACAAGAACAGCGACTAGTAAGTAAAATGACTGTTACATTTAAAGATGCCATCCAAAGGTAATGAAACCACATTTATATTCCGAATAGATGCCCAATAAGGTACATTTTTATAAATATCTCAGTAAACTAATTTGTCATTCATCAAATTTGGAAACTTCCCTTGATGATAATTTTATAAGGAATTGGATGAATTGCTGACATTCGGTCACTTTAAAACTTAATTCAAGGCCTAAAAAATAGAGTCTCTTATAAAAGTATTTCAAGCTACTACATGAACAGGTTTTCGGTATTTTCTTGCCATGTTGACCATTACGTAAGGGCAAATTTCATTTTTAAGTGCTTCGAGAATAAAAATTCATGAGGACGTCATCCATCCAATTTACGTGCTGCTAATATTCTTTCTCTGTGGAGATTGCAACAAGACAATACAATGCGGGATCCACTGAATGTGCACTTGGCCGGGGCTAGGTGATTATGTTACCACATATTTCATACACGCATTATAACAAAGGGAAGCACATCGTAAATACAATCAAATAACGATCAACAACAACATGCTAAGTTAAAAGTTCCCATCTGTTGACAGCTGTTGGCTGGCTCATCTCCCCATGACGTATGCCTTTCTGCTTCCTGCTGGTCTCATACTGATGTTCAACATGACAGTCTTCTCCATCGTCATGTACAAGCTGGCCAAGAGGGAGAAGGTGCAGAAAACGTTAACAGGTAAAAAAAATCATGTTTTGCAGAAGTTTAAACTTCAATTTCCAACAGAACTAATTGGACTCACCGAAGTTTTCGACCGTACAACTCCAGTCTTTGTTAAGTGGATTATGTCTGTGAAACCCTAGTCTCTGTTAAAGGGATGGTTGTACTGCCCTGTTGTCATGCCATGATCCCTCATCGGAGACGGGGGCGCCACAGACTTTCTGCAACCTATGATCCACTGCTCACGGAGTCACGTGTGTTATCTGCGTGACGTCATAGAAGCGGTGGATTTCTCATTCCTTGACAAAGGCTGGAGTACATTCGAAACTTTGGGTGAGTCCAATTTGTTGTGTTGGAAATTTGCTTGATAATGATTTCTACTAACGCAGATGAACTTTCAAGATAGGATTTTATGTTATGATGTTATTCATACGGCACTCCGTATTGTCATACATGTAACTTTTATCACCATGGACATGAGAAAAATATGCAATAAATATTGTTTTAATTATCGTAATATATATTTTGAGCCTGTCAGGAGCGGGAGTAGCGCTGCAGGTAGACCCGCTAGTTCCCCACACCCAAGGTATCACTACCCAGGGTCATTGCAGCATCCGTTGCAATCATTAATAGTTTAGCACTAGAACCTAATATCCTATGCAAGGACATTTGAACTTTTTTTAAATGCACCTTTAAACAAACCTTAACATCATGAAATGACCACAATCTAAATCTAACGCTTCTTTGACGTCACGTCATGCAGATGACGCACGTGACTCGGTAAGCAGTGGATAAAAGTTTTTAGAAAGTCTGTAGCACCCCTGGTCTTTGCGGAGGGTTGTACAGTCGAAATGTGTCCTGTACCTTATGTTGGAACTTGATTCAAAATGTACCAAGAAAGATGACCTTCAAAAGAATACAGATATGGGTTTAGCCTTGAGGTTCATCTGTGTTGGTACAAGTCATTATGAAATAAAAACTCAACTCTGCCTGCCATTAAATAGAACTTACTCCTCTTGCAAGGTTGAACAAGGTTGAAGGAGTCAGCCGAAAATGTGGGGTAAGTCCCATTTCGATCCAGTACTGGCAGGTAATGTTTAGTCCTTAACAGATATGGGTTGTTACTTATATAAGAACAACATGTTGTTGATGCACAGGTACCAAGAGGGAAGACGTAGACAACCAATGGATACTCGGTCAGCTTCGTCGGGCCTTCAGCATCATGTCTCTGTTTGGTCTCACATGGGTGTTCGGCTTCTTTGTCATCAGCGGTGGTCAACCTGCTTTCGCCTACCTGTTCTGCATCTTCAACACTCTCCAGGGTCTCTTTGTCTTTATCTTCCACTGCGTCTTGAGGGAGGATATGAGAAAGTGGCTCAAGAAATTCGACTTCAAAGGAAAGAAGAAGAATACGTGTGTTGTCGATGAGAACAAGTCATCTTCTGCACCAGCTGAGCTAATGCAGTTTAAACCTTTACAACCTGGCAACAGTCCGGATGGGTCATTCGAAGAAGTTACTGAATGATACACTAGAATTGTTACTAAAGAAACTGAATGAATTACTTGAATAACGAATCCTGTGTATCTCTTCAATTGGGTGTCTAACCTAGTTTGACGTTATTGAGATTAGTTCGCAATTCAGACATTGTCTTGGGTTGAAAAAATCCCTTTCTTCAGATTAAAAGAATGAATGGAAAATTCAACAGTTTTAAATTGATTGCTATAAAATCTTGAAATGTGGATAGGTTGTATCCACATCTCAAGAGCTAACTTGTACTAAAGCACATTTCATATTTTTAGTATCACTGCTTGTATAAGCATCCAGGCGGTAGATAAAGTGATTGGATGCCATGAGTTGTGCTAAAGAAAAGCTAACACCTGATATTGGGCACTTCTGACTCTGCAACTTGTGTTTTAGGCCATGTTGTGTTTAAGGTGTTTTAGGCCATGTTGATTTGATTACTGTAAGTCTCTTTATATTCGCGGGGCCTAAAGTTCGCGGTTTCGGGAAAATAGACAATCTGCGGTATTTTTAGATTCGCGATTTCTCCATGGCTATTTTTCAAAGAAAAATTTGTAAAGTGTATATCTCAAATAATAAAAGTTCGTGTTCCGGCATTTATCTCCTAAAACGCGGCGCAAAAATTTGTTTCGTGCACCGCGCGAGACTGCCGGCGGTAGCTGACGATCGATCTGACGCACGTGTAAACAATTTTCTTTGTTCGGAAATAAGCGCTAAAATGCTATTTTCCACGACTACACATCGATACTCTAGTGAAGAAATGCATAATCGAAAGAATATATATATATTACTAAGCAAATTTATGCCGTCTTCGGTGAGATTTTGAACCCGGAAGTATGCAAAGGTCGCCTTCGGTTTTGTAGGCCCACGGTGAGCGTTTCCGAGTATCCAGCAAAGCAAGAAGAAGAAAAAAACGCCCGCAAAGCAGGGCGCAAAAGATAACCAACTAACATTTCCCAGGTACCAGCCGTTATATTTTTCATAAAAATACTTGTAGATATGCCCGATGTTCCCGCAATTTTCAAGAGCCCGGGCGCGCATGGCCGGCGCTCTGCACGCATAGATTTTTTTCGGCGGTACACGGTTGACACGGCCAGTGCCGCAGTATCGCGATTCGGTGTCTCATAATATTATAATGTTTTGACATCAGTACAACTTTAAAAAAAAAATTGGTACTCAACATTTGCTAAGAATAAAGTTGATTTGCAGTGATTTGTGAATCGCGTGTGTTTGTGTTTCGCTTACCGTCGTGAATGCATGTGGGGAGGGGGGCGCACTTACGTATTACGCAAAACATATTCGCGGGGAAATAGATTCGCGGTACAAAGGTCCCCGCGAATACCGCGAATCTAAATATACCGCGGAAATTTGTAGACTTACAGTATATGGATGACATCTTCGCGCGCATGAATTTTCGGCCGTTTCCAAAAAACAAAGTTTTCAACCATACTGTAAATCGTACAAAACAGTTGCAAAATGAGCAAAAATATACCATAAGTTACAAAAAAAAATAAAAACTATACCAATGTCGTAGAATGCCAAAATCAAACTAAAAAAGACGAAATTGTAAAGAAATGAACTTGAAGACTAAATTATTCGCCAAACCATTCTTTTATTCGCACGCGCGCATCAGTTTTGGGGCTCCCGGAGGATGTCATCCATATAATTAAATCAACATGGCCTTAGTTGACTGGAGCGAATACTCCGCACTACATAACTTGTTTAATAATACAACAGGCTTAAATTGAAATAATCCAGGGCAGTTAATTTACAACATTCCACAGTCTGATATTTGCAGAGCGACTGTATTTATGGTCACTCATCCAAACGGTGGGCTCTCATGCTCTAATAAAGACAATCATTGTTAGGAATCTAGTCTTGAATTTAAGTAAGGCCATGTTGATTTGATTATATGGATGACATCCTCCGGGAGCCCCAAAACTGATGCGCGCATGCGAATAAAAAAAAGTTTTGCAAAAAAAAGTTCTTTTCATTATGAAATCTACGTGGTCATGAGGGTTGAGCAAATGGCACAGAATATGGTTTGGCGAATAATCTAGTTTTCATGTTCATTTCTTTACAATTTCGTCTTTTTTCATTTGATTTTGGCATTCTACGACATTGATATAGTTTTTATTAATTTTTTTTATAACTTATGGTATACTTTTGCTTATTTTGCAACTGTTTTGTTCGATTTACAGTATGGTTGAAAACATTTTTTTTTTGGAAACGGCCGAAAATTCATGCGCGCGCGGATGTCATCCATATAATCAAATCAACATGGCCTAATACTACATTGAATGATTTTAAGTATAAGGAACCCATTTGTCCATATCGACAATCACTTGTACACCTTCAACAGGATGCTAGTTTGATATAACAGGGACTACAGAAAAACTATTATAGAGGAGAATTTTTCCTGTTGCACTACCAACGGATACTAGTATTTGGACATTTACAAATTTGCTAGTTTTTATTTTGTTATGTTTAGAGTCATTGATTAGTTACTCTAAAGATAAATAGAGTTATAGGTGACCTTATTAGGTGACTTATTATATTAAGGTTATTTAGAAATAATAACATTACGGCTTTTTTAGTGTTGAATATTTTTGGCATAAATGAGGGGCAATCAGAACAATAATAAGGCCAATTGTTCATGTCAAAGAACACAAAACAAACGGCTTTTTTTTCCAAAATAATGTTGGAAACTTACACCAACTAGGTAGCGCGGTGCATTCTGGGATAGTTTAGGGGGTATTGGGGAGTTTATTCTGGATTCCATGAGTTTTAAGACTTACGTGCACATTGGGTATTTTATCGAATATCATTAAGTAATGTGCATTTTTCATTTCCTTAAATTCATGTCTGTCGGAAAATAGCTCTCCACTCTGGACTTTAGAACCTCTTTAGATATAGAGAGAGTATTGTCAGGGTATGATGATAATATAGTATTGATGATGAAACAGTCTCGATTTGCTAACATGTTTTAGTCATAACAAGTTTTAGTCATAATGAAATACATTTATTGTTACATTTATTCTCTTATAACCTAAGTACAGGTCATGTATAAGAATGTGTACTACTACCTACCGGTTTGGTTGATATGTATGTTCGATTACTTCTCGCTTCAGTTGTACATGTATGAACTTTATATCTTATTAACACCATTTGTCTTATTACATAATTAATAAAAACTTTATCCTTTCTGTATCGACTTTGAAACCTGAGAAATTTATCGTGTATACAAATATAGATTATGTTTATCTCAAGTATATGACGTACAATGCACAGTCAACAATGACGAAATAACATTCATCCCTAATTTTTTCATTATTTTAGTAGGTTGTATATTACACATAGAAGCATGGTTATATTATATCATACTAACTGCTATTTACCTTTATGTTATTTACCTGGGTGTAGAATAGAAAAATTAATTATATGGCGATGTGCCAATGTAACAAAATTGAAATAAAATGCCTTACAGAATGGGTATATGAGCAATATTTATTATCACTGGCACGTCCGAACATGATGGCCTCTAGCAGTCATGTCCATCTATCTACACATCCGCTAAACTCAAGCTTTTCAACACCAGCTGCGTGACAATACTGCTATATGGCTGTGAATCTTGGGTCATAACGGGGGACATGGAGAATAAGCTAAACGCGTTCAGCACATCATGCTATAGGGTCATGCTTAACATCAAACGCCTAGACCATGTGAGCACCGCCTGGATCTACAGGTTGACCAACTCGGTTGGGTTAAGGCAGCCTATGGCATGCTATGAGTAGTATTTCATACATATGCCTGTAACTTTTGATAGCTTGGTCGCACCACAACTAAACTTCACACAGTTCTAGTAGTACTTGAAACACATTGAATAAAGGTTATTTTGTTTTTACTACTTCTGGATTTTTGGGTTAAAAATCAACATTTTGGTTAAAAAAAAGCTGTTTACTTCATGGCTTTACGCGCAAGCGGTAACAGCACCTTTCATCATGATACTTTGCAAGTAGAAAGCCAACCCCCTATTTATTATTTTTGTCCGAGGCTATTTTGTTTTAAATGACAGTTACATTGTTATTTTGGGCCAAAAACGACAGAACCAGCTATTTTTCTGTCATTTTTCGGCGCCCAGATCTTTGTCAGTCATAAAGATTAACATCATTTGGCGAAGGCATGAGATCGTGGGACTCTAGTTAACATGTGCACCCAACTTCAGACCGCTTGTCAGCGTGACGCCCAGATACGGATGGGTTTTTGTGGTTGCTAAAGCCTGACCACAAAACTGGTAGCTAGTTGCATGTGGTGTTCGTTTGTTTGTCTGTTTTGTGCATAGTGTAGCATTTTTCGGGATTAAATTGCATGAGCCATTTGCTTTGCCATTCTTCCAGGGTGTTAAGGTCTTTTTGGAGAAGCTGTGAATCGGTCTGTGTAGAAAGCTCTACATACAACAGACAGTCATCGGCAAATAACCTCACATTGAGTCAAGCTGATCTGGTAGGTCATACAAGAAAAAGAGCAATGGTCCCAGGACGGTTCCTTGAGGGACCCCAGACGCTACCCACAAACACAAACACACACACACACACACACACACACACACACACAAACACACATACATACATTTGCTAAGAAACTTGTATCTAGTTCAAGCAGTTTAGTACGATAACTTAAGAAGCTTTGGGTGGATTGTCATGGAACTTTACAGGTGGGTATAGGTGTTAATGAGACCTAGAGATGATTAGATTTTGTGCCCCCTGGCTGCTTTAATAGGTATTGCAACAGAACGTCCGGTTTTTATATAGCTCATGGTTTAGACATATAACCAGTGGTTGATGCTATAACATTACAATACTACTGGATTTAAACAGCTTTTTTTTCATTTTCATGACACCATGATTATGAATATCAGACTGATGAACTGAGCATGCCTAGTGAGAGGCATATATCGTGTTGTGCGAAAGAAAGTTAGTTAAATCGGCGGCTGGTAATGTTTTAAACATCCGCATCTACCAATGGATATGCAATACAGACCAATCACTGAATACGTTTTGTTTACTGGAAGGCAAATCCTATAAAACTAAGGCCACGGTATGTATTAATGGCATCAGCGCACCCATTAATTTTCCCCTGATTTGGGGTTGATGTAATTTTTTGTTTTATTTTGATGTAGTGATGTATTTTACTCATTTCTATGTGATGGTGGCTACGTATATG